GGGAAAGAGGCTTCAGTGTCGTAGGAGTAAATGAAGCTGAAAGGAGTTCAAGAAGGTGAGAATGAGGGAGGGGAACTGGCCAGGGAGGGGAAGGACCAGAAACACAGAGGAAAGGTGGTGAATTGCCAGGGAAAGTTAAAATATTTCCTTTGCCTTAATAAAGCAGCCATAGAAAACAGCTGTACCATTTCCTACCCCAGATAAAGTCAAGGCAATGAATCCCTTCGACTCCCAAGGAAACAGAAGAGGCCCAACATTTGACCCTCTGACCACTCATTTTTCCCTTAGAATACAAATATCCAGTAATTTTTTTCCATTTGCCTCTACAGAAAAAATATAATTGTATATTAGAGAAAAAAAAACTATTTGAAGACAAGGAGTCTTTTGTTAGTGCAACAGAACTGCTGAGACACAGGAATGAATTAAGCAAAACGAGGCCAAACATCCCTTGGTAAACTGGATGCATTATAAAAATAAGATGGAAGAGAATAAAAGGTGAACTTCTAAAGCTGATTAAATTCAGATACTGTGGCCTTTGGAAAATTCAGGCTCAGTTCTCCATTTGAAGGTTTGGATGACCCAGTAAACAGGATGATGTGCAGAGCCACTGGATTAACATCCAGGGCTTGGATTTAAGAGAGCTGAGCAGTTACTGCAACAGTCACCACGTGTGAGAGACACGGTGTCTAATTATAGGTTTTTTAAATACTGTCTTTGACCTTGATAGTATTTACATGGATATTTGGTACCCCTGACTGCTTCAAAATGCACCTTTGCCTTGCCAGCCCCGGCCTGGAATGTCACACACCACTTCATGCCCAGCACCCCCCCACACATAGAGGATTCCGTGTGGATCCAAGTCCCAGGAAGGAACTGGGTGGTGGGATCCTGCATGCCTGGCATTTTAACTCTGCTGCCTGTGCCCAGGTCATCTTACTTCATTGTCATCCTCCTTCTTTCTCCCTCAGAATGCCCCACGATGCAGCTGGGCAGCCTGGGAGCACAGCTCTGCACTGGGAGGTGCCTGGCAGCAAGTTTAAAATTCTCTTTTAAAGTGTCAGGTTGGTGACCATAGAAGTTTAGCTGATCTGTTTATCAACAGAATGAGAAAAGCAGAAGTGCTTCCCAGCAGTTCCAAGTACACTTGGACTTCAAAGGACATCGTCCTGAGATAGGAGAGTTCTTCTGAGTACAGTGACTGCTGCTCAGTTACCTGGGTCTAGGTGTCTAGAGCCATTTCAGATTACCTGAGGTCCCACCCAGCTTACAGAAAAACACAGGTGGATTCCATACCTGTCAGCCCCATATGGACATCCTGCATATTCTGAGCTCCCTACAGACCAGCTTGAGGCAAGTGAAACCCACCTCTACTGATACCTGCCTCCTTCTGTTGTAATCAATGTTTGTTCCTCAGAAAAAGGGACAAAACCAGTTTATTTCATGTAGATCAGTGAAATTCTGTGAGATGAAGTACCTGGTGAATGCAGTTCTGGTAACTGTGGTGATTATAAGGAAGAAGTGGGATTCCTGAGACAGCTGAATGTGAGAAAGAACCACCAGTGCTAGAGAGCTTGATTTATTCCTTTCCTCTGACTGCCCTGGTGAGCACACAGGCAGGATGCCCAGTGTTGTGCTGCTCAGGGTAAAAAGCCCAGCTGGAGTTCAGTTCCATGTCAGAAGAAGACCTGGGTTGGCACCATCCAGCCATAGAGCCCTGTTCCCTTTGGAAGAGGGTGCAGGCAAGAGGGAAGTTCAGTGTTAACCAAATGGGCTACACAGCTGAGGGAGCAACACTGCAGGGCACCCTGCCCACCCTGCCTACCCTGGAATTAAATTATGACTGGGGTTTTGGGAACTATGGCATTCAGTGCCTTCTTCCAGCTGCTAGCAGTTTGGGAAGGATCTGAACCATCAGTGAGAAAACAAAATCTGCCTGCATCCCACTAACAACCTCCCCCCCAAAAAACCCAAAGCTTTTGTAAAACTTGCTTAATTTGATTCATTATCTCTGATGAAAGATGCTGCTGCTTCACATACCTGTTCTGATTGTACTGTACATTCTGTGTCAGATCAACATTCAGCATAATGAAGTCATGCACGTGGCAGCAGGAGAATGGTTCCTTGATCTCAGCACTGTTGGTTTTACTGGACCATTTCCTCATCCCAATTAGGGCGTAGTGAGTGACATCGGGAGTCGCTTCAATACGTTGCAGAATTTGCTTCAAGGAAACATTCCTTTCACTCCACATATAGTCACTGCAGAAATAATGAAACTGTGTTAATTTTAAAGTATATAGAGAATATTTAGAATCTCCTTCAGCTGGAGAGCATTTCTTAGAAGTCAAAAATAATTACGAACATCAGGTAGTAACGAGTAACTTCAACATTGTCTTGACTACAACATTTTGCCTCTCACTCCAATCAAAACTTGTAATTAACTAGTGCTTACGTGGCAGGGACTGGTATGATAGATCTGAAACTTAGTCTGGATCTTTCAAAATATTCACTCAGTTATTTAAACTTCTAAAGTTACCTGGAAAATGTTTCACATCACTCTGGGAGGGCTGCTGTCTTTGTGCCATAACTTAGGTGAAGTATAAAATCCTCCCAGTCCACCCCTAGAGTCCATAAATGTCAGTTCTCACTGAGTTTAGTTCTCTTTGAAGGGTTGCTGTAAATCCTGCATAGCAATGTTCCAGGAGCAGATGAAAATATCTAGCACAATCAATGTTCTAAAGTAATGAAAACAAAAATACTTGTTTGGGGAGCTAATAAAGGAGCTGTGCAGACTGGGACTGGCAAAAGAGCCAGAGGAAATCAGGTGCACAATTTGCACAGCAGAGTCTTTTACCTTCCTCTTTAAAACCCTGTTCAAAATGTCCATGTGGATGCCCATGCTTGCCCAGTGTCTCAAGGACTGTCTGCAGAGTCTGAAATCTGCAGAGTAAGTAACTCTACTTTGAACAGGGGTCAAGCTGTACAGCCAAGGCTGCAGGGCAGCCAGCTCCTCAGGGACCAGGCATGACACACAGGCAGTGACCACGTGCAGATATCTAGGGAAAATACTTCCCTCGTAAGGCAAATACTGTCTCCTTGTACAGGGTAAAAGTTGTAGTATTTCAAACAAATTCAAAAGGATATGCAGTGAAAGGTTCAAAGATACCACCTGAGAAAACATGCTTTACTCTCTTTACCTTTTCCTGTCTCCTGAACAATCAACTTCTACTGCATTCCACATCACACAGGAGTCATCTGAAATGACAATGAAAGGCCAGATGTCCTGGGGTTTTATCCCCAGCTCCTCCTGCCGATTTCGTTCCAGCTCCAGGTTATGGTAAGATAGCTCTTTTATCAGGAAGTGTGCAGCACCTGAAACCAAGGACAGCATCAAGCAGGTTAAAAGTAGGGGTAGGAATTGCTTCCTTTTGACTTGCATGTGCCTTTTGAAGTGAATATTTCTGCAGAGCAGGGTATGAACCACCCTGCAAGTTTCTGACACCCCCGGAGCCAACTGTCCTGGTCACTTGCCAAGCAAGCAACTCCCAGAGCCCCACTGGGAAGCAGAGTCACTGCAGCCTGAGTCCTGTGGCAAAGATTTGCTGGTGCCTTAAAGGGCTTAGTGACCAACTCTCCTAGCCTGACAGATATTTGACTCCTCTAGCATCTCTTAGTGCAAATATCTAGAGATGTTGATTGGCCAGGTGGATAACATGGGAACCATTTCCCCTGACCATCTGCTTTGGATGTTTGTCAGTACTGCTGGCTGTGAGCTGTTCCAGCAGTAAGAGGAAGCTGCTGAATATCTCACAGGTATTATATTAGCAGAACCTCAGAGATGTGCCTAATCAGTGCTTCCCTGCCTGTGCAATCAGTGCAACATGAATTTCCACAAGGAAGCTGAGAAGGTAACTCCATCTGAGTTAACACACTCAGCTCCCTCTGGAATCAAGAGAGGACAGTAAGTATTTCTATGGTGCAATTCATCTGGCTCAACTTAGGCTGCCTGGGTAAAGAGAAATTGCAACTTCAACTGTGACACGTTGTCTTCAGAGACAATCCAGATCACCAGATCAGATGTCCCAGCCACAGGGTGTGTGTCTGTGTTTCCCTGTGGAGTCACAACACCCCAAGGGCCCAGGTCATGTGTCCACATCTGTTAGAAGGTTTTTGTTCTCCTTACCTACTCCAGCACTGTTGAAAATGCTTGGGAGGACAAGCATGATGTGGTTGGGCCAATACTTCTTATATATGGCCATTTCATACTCCTTGACTACTAACACGTGCAGATGACTGGCTCCATCCATTGCATGGTATAAATTGAAAAGTCCATGTTCATGACGACCAGTGGTGGGAGTAAAAGTGGGGCTTTTTATGTAATCTTCACTCTGTAAATAAAAAGAAGAGTGAGTTTCTGTACTAAGCTGGAGGATAGTTAAACAAAGACAGCCAGATCCTTCAGGAGAGTAAAGCAGATTGATTGACATGGGACAAACTGCAGTTGGATGGGGCTTGGAGCAGCCTGGGCTGCTGGGAGGTGTCCCTGCCCATGCAGGGGGTGGATCTAGATGATCTTTAAGGTCCCTTCCAACCCAAATCATTCCATGGTTCTATGATTTTAAATAGTTTAATAGAAAATAAGCAACTTTTATAAGATTTGGGAAAAGTAAAACTCTATCACTTGGCTTATTTGACTGGTGAGGGTGCAGTGTCTGGATAAGATGTCTCACCTTGGCCTGCCAGGTGCACAGGGACTTGGAGGCTGCATCTGGAACAGGATTTAGGTCGACATGAAATAAGCTGGTAAGAAACACTCCAAAACTGCAGTACAACCCTTCTGACTGGCTGTCACCTAATCTGGAATGCACTGAAACTCACCAGGTGCTTCTGAGCTGGATGATACAGCTGCTGAGAGCCCTGCTTCTGCAGACATCCAGAGCTGCTCCAGTCCCAGCAACAGGCTTTAGCCTGGTCCCTACTAAGGTCATGAAGGACCCAAAATGAAAGTCTGTCTCTTCACAGAGCCTCTCCAAGGCCCTCCAAAGCAGAAATTGGTGGATTTTATGACAGTGGAGTTCATGAAAGGAAATTTAAAGTGGATCAGTACATGTATTTTACAATGGTTTAATAATGTAGGTTTGCATCCCATGGCACTTTTCCAGCTTGTAGCAAGACTGTAGGCACCATGTTGGAACAAGTGGGCAGAAAAAGGAGCAAAGGAAGAATAAATGGTTTGGGCAACTGGTAGAAGCAGGAAAAGAATCCACAAGGAGCCAGTGCCCAGTTCTGACTGTGCAGCCAAGCACAAGATTGCTGGGTGAGGAAGGGCAGGAAGCGTCATCCTCACTCTGCACAGTTGCTGCTGTGTTCTGACTGGGCTCTGCCATTTCAAACTGGAACTGGACACAGAAGTCCAAACTGGAGGGTGGTGATGATTGATCAGTGAGTATTGAAAGCAGCTGTTTCCTCCAGGGCAGAAGTGCTGCTGCTTTTACTGCCCCATCAGTGGCTCCCACACTCTGAGCAGAGCGACCTGAGCAGCTTCACACCAGGAGTCAGGGCAGAGGCCACCAGCAGGGCTGGCACTGCCTGTCAGATGGGTCACCTCACAGAGGGCTTCCTGCAAGCATCACCCTTGGCGTGGTCTTGAAGCCACGACAAAGCTTCTTTTGTATGAAAGGAGCAGAACATTTATGCAGAACAAGACAGGATCATCCACTGCCTTCCTTTGCAGTAAAACTATAGAATCATAGAATCATTAAGGTTGGAAGGGACCTTAAAGATCACCATGTTCCACCCCCCTGCCATGAGCAGGGAACCACTAGACCAGGCTGCACAAACTCTCGTCCAACCAGGCCTTAAAAACCTCCAGGGATGGGGAATCAACAACCTCCCTGGGCAACCCATCCCAGTTCCTCACCACCCTTAGAGTGAAGAATTTCTTCCTAATACCTAACCTAAATCTCCCCTCTCTCAGTTTAAAACCATCACCCCTTGTCCTATCACTGTCTTCTCTGGTGAAAAGCCCCTCCCCAGCTTTCCTGGAGCCCCTTCAGGCACTGGAAGGTGCTCTAAGGTCTCCCTGGAGCCTTCTCTTCTCCAGGCTGAACAGCCCAACTCTCCAGAGTTGCTCCAGCCCTTGGATAATCTTTGTGGCCTCCTCTGGCCCCTCTCCACCAGCTCCATGTCCCTCCTGTGCTGGGGGCTCCAGAGCAGGACCCAGCTCTCCAGGTGGGGTCTCAGCAGAGCAGAGCAGAGGGGCAGGATCCCCTCCCTGGCCCTGCTGACCACACTTCTGGTGATGCAGCCTCTTAGGAACTGTGTAAAACAAAACCCTGTCTCTGAGGCTCATTGCTGAAGCCATTCACACTTTCACATCTTAAACCCATAAGCAAAGCCCTTTTGCCCCAGAGTGTTTATACAAAAGGATCAACCTCGATCATAAGCAAAAGAAACAGGCTGTTGTTGGCATGACAGTTTGCTTCATATCTCCCTTACTGGGAGAAAATACAATCTTAGTATCAGAACATCTTCATTACCTCTTGACAGCAGAACCAGAAGTGTAAAGAATTCCAGTTCAACAACGTTTAAACTGGGTAGGGTCTCCTTCCCATCTGTGGCCATAAACAGAATTATCCATCTACCTGGTCTGTGACGAGTGGCAGCCTCATGCTTTCCAGTTGTCTCCCTGGTTGGCTGAAGACAAAATGGTGCTCCTTGGACTTTGGGATAATGAAATGCAGCTGGATCTCTTCTCCCAGCATGGAGTAAGAAAAGGCAAATGCGTGCAGAGTGGACTCGTATAGCTGAGGGTGGGAACAAACAGGATCATTGCAGCGGTTAGAGTCAGACTAGAAGGTGTCAGTGTGGTCACCAGACATGTGTAACCAGACAGGCTGCAGTCAATGGCAGCCCCTCAGAGGGTGTGCAGCAGGGCCCCGTGGGCTGGAGCAGACACTAAATTAAACTGTTCCTTCTTTTGAAACCACTGTGTGAGCTCAGCCTGGAGATGGAGCTGGTACCTCCGGGGCACTCCCGGTGTCCAGAGGGCCTGACAGAGAGGAAGTGGTGTTTGTGCTGTTTGTGCCCTGACAGGCTGTGCCCCGCAGCACTGACAGGCTGTGCCCCGCAGCCCCGCAGCACTGACAGGCTGTGCCCCGCAGCACTGACAGGCTGTGCCCCGCAGCACTGACAGGCTGTGCCCCGCAGCACTGACAGGCTGTGCCCCGCAGCACTGACAGGCTGTGCCCCGCAGCACTGACAGGCTGTGCCCCGCAGCACTGACAGGCTGTGCCCCGCAGCACTGACAGGCTGTGCCCCGCAGCACTGACAGGCTGTGCCCCCCAGCACTGACAGGCTCTGCCCCGCAGCACTGACAGGCTGTGCCCCGCAGCCCCGCAGCACTGACAGGCTCTGCACCATCTCTGGGCTGCCCCGCTGGCACGAGCAGCAGCTTCTGCAGCCACTCAGGTGAGCAGGTCAGCGAGTCCCAGTGGGAAAAGCTGACTGGGAAAGCAGTTTTGCCTGCTCACACCCATGCAGAGTGCTGATGGCAGCACCCGACAGCCGGGTGCCCATGAGCAAGGCTCAGCCCCCTGGCAGTCCCAGGCCTGCAGCCTGGGCAGGGCCGCAAACCTCAGCAATGACAGGCTGGGAAAGCAGCTGCTTCTGACACCTGCCTGCGAGTTCCCTGCAGCCCAGGCAGCGAGCGCAGCACTGCCCTTGGGCTGTGTCTGCTCCCCTTTCCCGTGGGCAGGGAGGCCCGGGGAGCCCTTACCTGGTAGCGGGGGTTGAAGCCCATGTAGTGGTGGCACTGCTCGCAGTGGTGGTAGGTGTTGTAGGCTGCGTACTTGGAGAGCCGCATGCGCGCGGTGCGGCGGCGCGGGAACGTGTCCTCCTGCCTGCGGCCTGCGGAGCAACACACAGCCCTGTGGGCACCTGTGTGCGAGGCCACAGGGTGTTCCCTCCTGGCAGGCTGCCTGTGTCCCTGTCCCTGCCTCACAGGAGCAACGGCAGCCTGGGAGACACACGGAGCAAGCAAGGAGTTTGTTCTGAGCAGGGGCTGTTTTGCAAGGAGTCACGCACAGCAAAAGGGACAACAAAGAAGCATCTGCAGCTTCACCATGATGGTGATTCTGGGCAGGTTGCACACAGGGCTGAGGTGTAAGCAAGGCCAGATCATTAAAATGATTATTGTTGCTTTGGTTATTATTGAGGGAACGCTTGGTGAGAGTGTCATGAGAGGCGTTGGCCATCCTGGGATGGGCACCACGGTAGGTTCTGTGACATGAACTTGGCAGATTCAGTGATGTTGCCCTTGAGCAAATATCCCCATGTTAATAAAAGGCCTGCTCTGTGAGAGACTGAAGGAAGAGGGGATGTAATTTCTGCTGCAAAGGACTCCTGTCCTCTGGCCAAATCTTTCACTCAGGTTTGCAGCATCAGAGCAGGTTGTTCAGGGCTGCTCTTTGTCCTGTCAAGTTTTGAACCTTACAGAGAGTGGAGTTCCCACAGTCTCTCTGGGCAACCTGCTCCATGGTTTGACCACTTTTATTCTGAAAATATTTTTCCTGCTAATTGCAATTTCCCACAGTACAGCCTGTGTCTGTTGTCTCTCAGTCTTATGCTGTGGCACTGTAACACTTTGTGTCTCTAAGTTTCCACTAGGAAGCTGAAGGCAGCAAGCAGGTGCCCTTGCTGGACTTCTCCAGTCTGAACAAACCCAGTTCTTTCAATTTTCTGTGTACATCTTGTGCTCCTGGCCTGTCCATCTTGGTGGCTGCCCACCAGGTGATACACTTCTGCATGTCCGTGTCTGTCTTCTGCTGGGAATCCAAAAACTTGAAAGAATACCCCAGATCTGGTCTTACAGACACCTTGGATAGAAGAATAATCATGGACATGGCATTTCCCTTTTTCCAGCCATCAGGAACCTTCATCAACTCTTGTTATCTTTTAAAAATGATGGGCAGGAGACAGATGATGTTGGGCAGCTCCCTCAGGATGCTTGGATACATCCTACCAAGTCCCGTGGGCTTCTGTATGTCCAGATTGATAATGCAGGGGACTAATTCACACTCTCCATATCATACCCATAAAACAGTGATGAGGCTCATGCTCTGGTGCTTCACCTGGCAAACTTTAAATCTTTGCTCAGTCAAGTGCAATTCTGATTATTTCAGTCTGTTTAAAAGTTCATCAGGATCCTCATGTTAAAAACAAAGAAATACATATATGTGCTTTTTCCATATTCTTACCTTCACTGTTGATGGTTTGAAGCTTTGAACAGATCAGACTTGCATCTTCATATTTCGGGTCATGGATAGTGTAGTCAAAAGGCATCTTCTTAAATGTCTCCAGATGTGGCCACAGATCTCCAGGCTGATGGTAGCATTGATCAGATTCCTCCTTTATGCCTAAAATATTATTGAAAAATAAGAATTCATGTGACTTTCAAAGCTCTTTATATTAATACAGATGGATTTGTTATGCCTGTTATTCCTGCATAATTTTTTCTTTCCTCGTTCTGAAGAAGCAATATTAGAACGTATCAAGAGGGCACTTTCGACCAGATGTGCCTCAGACCTCAGTGCTAGTCTGGGTTTTTAAACCTCTGTTAACAAATTTAGACCTTTGTGTTCTTCCTGGTGCAGCTGGTGGGATGATGTACTGGGGCAGTTGGCATCTTTCCACTGACCACCACCATTTCTAACTCAGCTGAGGAAAGGCAAGTTATTCTCACTGAGGAAAAGAAGCATTTAGAAGCTTCATAAATTGCCCTATCAAGGGCAGTGCAGAGCTAAAGTCAAAAGCCCCTTCTAATGATAATACCAGAGTCATCAAAAGAATAAGAGAAAAACAGTGAGTGGTGTTGGTGTCAAGTGCAGTGGAATCCTGCCTTTTCCTTAATCGAGTTAACTGGCATCAAACCCCAGATGGACACAGGTCCAAAGCACGTTTCTACCCTTGTGAAGGGGATGAAAGACCTGAGAAGAGCCAATGGAGAGTGGTGAGGAGCTCTGTGTGCTCAGCTGTTGGCTGCTGGAGAGAGACAGGTCTGTCTGTGGGCACAGACTGAAGGGCTGTTGACAGCAAGGGACGCCCTGGCTCTTGGCACCCAAATCAGAGAGGAAACTCAGGTGGAGTTAAGTCAGATGGTGGAATTATGTCCATGCCCTGACTGTGAGTTACCTCCTGCCCAACATCCAGAGGCTCCCTTGCACAAACCTCTTCTCAAGCCCACTGGTCATCCCTTCCCCAGGTTTGACACCACCCCTGGGGATGCTGCCTCTTCCCGAGCACGGCTGAGGGTGCAGGAAGGTTGGGGTCCTGCCCCTCAGAGCCCTGAGAGACAGGAGCTGTGCCAGTGCTGCAGGGCAGGCAGCCCCCAGCCCCCCAAGGGCACAAAGAGACACTTCCCTGCAAGTAACACCCTCTGGCTTTGCTTTCATCCAGCCCTTAGCTGCAGAAACACCCCTGGAAGGACAGGGCAGGAACAGACTGTAAACAGCAGAAGTTTGGACTAAGATTAGAGCAGGAACTGTTGTTAGAACTGTTGTTAGAACTGTTATTAATTTCCCTCCCCCGTGCAGTGTTACAGACTGAGAAAACAAGACTTTGCTCCTCCTGGTATGAATCTTCCAGAACGTCACTAGTTCTTTTAACATACTTGACCACAACAGTTCCTTCCAGCTCTAAATTCAAAAACTACGTTTGGATACCATTTGTTGTACATAAATGCTGTTGATACCTGCCCAGGAAAAACAGGGATAATCTGATTGTCTTACTGAGAGGAAGACCAGGCTGTAAATGATGAGTAAAAGAGTCAAATATTCTTCAGTGTCAGTTGAACACCACACACACAAAAAACTTTTAAAATCTTTCAATGATGTAAATTCCCTGCAGAGGTGAATGGCATAGAATATAGAGACAGCTGCTTTTTCATTTAACAGAAGCGTTTTCTACAGTCTCCAGAAATAAATATTTTTATATCAAGAACTTACTAATGTTGATTTCTTCCTCATCATAAACATCCACTTCTGTCAGTCTAATCAGCATTCGGGACAAAATGCTGAGGAACTGCAGGTAGGCACCTGTTTTCCCTATCTGCAAATATACAAATTAGAAGACAGAAAAAATAAGTTTCATTTTTCAGTATGTTACTTTTCCACATATCTGGAAACTTCAGCTGCACTGAAAGCAAATATTGATATTCAGCACTTGCATATCCCTGTGTTTCTACATTTCTTGGCATAAATGAAATACTCAAGTGCTCCAGAGTTCTGTTCTCTCTGCAGGAACCTGGTTGGAAAATGCATTTTACACCACAGGTCTAATTACAAGCCCACAGACCTGATTTTCCCCTCTGATGTTATTGTTTCTACATAGGCAAGAAACTTTTCAAATCCACACACGCTCATAAAATGTTCCAAAAAAGCTCCTCAGACTCCAAGAGCACTGAAGAATTGCCTCAACCCTTTCCTGTTTGCAGCATGTCCCAGCACTGCCTAACACATCTGTGAGTAAAATCTACTTCAGGAAGCAAAATTATTTATTCCCAAAAGAAGAGTCATTTCTTTGTATTTTATTGTGACTGTTCCCTAGAAGAAACCCTGTGTTGTTACACCTTAAACCAGCAGACAATCAGGATGCTTTTGCAGCTTTTTGTTTGGTTTACAGGAGGTTTTAGTGCTTTGGGAGGTTAAAATAGGAAAGGAAGCAAAGCTGCTCTTTCCCACATACTGAAGTGAATATATACCCCTCACTTTTGATCCTTAGGAAGAAGACATAGAATCATCATAGAATCACAGAATGTCTTGGGTTGGAAGGGATCTCTAAAGCTCATCTAGTCCCACCCCCCTACAATGAGCAGGGACATCTCACACTAGCCCAGGTTGCTCTGAGCCCCATCAAGCCTGACCTTGAATGTCTCCAGGGATGGGGCCTCCACCACCCTCATGTTAAAGAACTTTTTCCTGATGTCCAATCTAAATCTGCCCTTCTCTAGCTTAAAACCATCACCCTTTGTCCTGCATTTACCTGGCCTTGTGAGCAGCTCTTCCTAATGCTCCTAATTTGATGCCTGTGAAATTGTTCTGTGTAAAACAGGTATATTCTTCAGCTAGAACTGAGAAATATAAAACTAACAAACATGTGAAGAGTTCCTTGAGGAACTGAATGACTCGATGCAAAACTAGGAAATAACCTGCAGTGTGGAGACAGCTGGAGAAGGGATGAGTTTCAGGTAAGGAAATGATGTCAAGGCTGAAATTCACTGCTGTTTGGAGGGTCAACAGGACTCCTATTGAATACTTGGGGGGGAAAAAAAGGTTTGATAGTGAAAAGTGGTGAATACCATACCCTGCAGTGGAGCTGACAAATTAATAAGCTGCCTGTTCAATTAAAACCAGTTAAATGGCAAGTACCAAGTTTGTGAAGCATCAAAACCTTCTCACAGACATGCACTGTGGTCCCAGAAGTCTCTGTATGACTCTTCTGAGAATCACAGATTTACATTTGTGACCCATAACCAAATGAAGGCCAAGTAAACGTTGCCTTATTGGCTAATCCAGGTATTTGGGGTGGCTTTGGGAAGAGTGTAGTTGTGGAGTTCCATGTGCATGCATAAAATATTTCTAACAAAAATGATCACAGCTCAGTTTTTACTTTGAGATGGAATTGAAAAGCACCTCTCTTCCAGGTGTTCATTTCTGTGCTGCAGCCGAGTATGAAACTCAGTTTCTTTACCACAAAACACCTCAATCTTTGGCAAACAGGGATGATTTGGATCAAAGGAATGGACAGTGAAAAACTGCTGCACTTTCTGGAACCCTGTGTGGATTACAGCAGGATTTGCAGGAAGTCTCAACACAAAAAGCCCATTTATTCCCTGCTGCAGCAGCCGTGTGGGCGCCCAGGGGCTGCAGATGTTCAGCACCAGCCAGAGGTTGGAATGGGTGGGCTCAGGAGGGCAGCTCGGGTGGGAGTGAGATCAGCAGCTCTCTCTAGATTAATTCTTTGATGCTGCAGTGACTGGAAACCTGGGTCTCTGTCTTAGTTTGGATTTACCCGTTTTGCCACCTGAGGTGGGCAGGACCCCAGCAGGCACAGGGGCTGCTCCTGCCTTCTTGCCTCCTGCCTCAGCAGAACGTGAGAGGCCCTTTGTGCCCTTAGCCCGTGACACACACACTGGCCCAGCAGGTGCCTTGCTCAGTGCTAGGCACTTTTGGAGGATTTAGAAGAGAAGAAACTTGTTTAGAACTACGCCCCTTCTATATGTCTTTTCAAAATAATTTAGCAGCCCCGGGGTCGGCTGCTCATGGTGTAAACAAGGCTCTGCTGGAGCTGAACGGGCATCTAGGATTGGCAGCAGCTTCTCTTTCTCTCTGCTGTGTGGAGGAAACAGAGGAAATGACAGTTACAAACTCCCAGCTGCCTTCAGCTTAATCATCAGAGAGTGAGTTTGTGGGGACCTTGGATCTTTATTTAAATATAAAGCATATTCAACTTTACCAAACTGAAACTCGACTTGAAATGTGTCCTTTGAGCAAAGATCTCGCTGAGCTTTGTAAAAGAGAGAGACTGACAGAAAGTTAATATTGCTGCAGCTTCTCTGTCTTTGAACTCAGGCTGGCAGTAAGGAGAGGAAGATTAATTTATTCCAAGGAATTAGGAAATATCAAGAACTTTTTTTTTTTTAAAAAAAAAAAGCCCTCAGGTATGAATAACAATAAGGGACTTTTTTTTTTTTTTTTTCTGAGGATGATGATAAAAATAAACAAATCAATGCCAATACCTTGTTCTTGCTACCCACCTGTGGTGGCCCACTCAGCAGCAGCCTCCTGGGGTGGAAGGTGTCCATCCTGCCCTCACTCCTGTTGGTGTAGTCCATGTGGATGGGCTTGGGCACCGTCCACTGGCGGTAGTAGAGGGACTGCTCCGTGCAGGTCATCATCTTGCTCATCAGGGGCCGGAAGGAGCTCGCCCACATGACTGAGTGGTAAGGCAAGAGGGAGGAGGATTTGGGAAGCCCACTGCTGTCCGTGGAAGTCACAATGTCATAAACCAGCTTGGGCAGGAAAACTATGGGAGGCTGCTTGGAAGCTTTGGTCATGGAGCACTGAGAGCTCTGTAGGATGAAGGGGTTATGAGGAGGTGCAGAGGAGGAAGGGGAGGAGGAGAAAGGGGGAGAGGATGATGAGGGGATGGAAATTTGGGCACTTCTTATGTTTTGCTTTGTATCTAGCTGTTCAGTTACTAGTGGCAAGTGTTTGCTGATGGCTGTTTGTGCCCCCTTGTCTACTTTCTGCTTCTGCCTTTCGCAGTTGTTTGTAGTTTCCTCAGTGCTGTTGCTCAGGACTCGGTGGGGGGATTTGGCTGTGTCTCCTGCTGCTGCTGCCAGAGGAGATGACTCACTGCAGAATGCTGCAACTGAGAGAAAAGGTGTATTTCAAACACTGCAACTATCTCTGCTACTCAATGCCATAGTTAACAAAACCAAACGCTTTAGACAGAGCACCCACCAAACACTGCAATTCCTCTCCTGCTCTTGCTTTCACCTTTCTCCTAAAGGAAGCCACCCTGGGCCGTAGTTTGGAGCATTCACCTCAACACAGAAAGTGGCTTTTTAAGTATTGAAGTGCATGGGAAAGATGTCAGTAATTGTCCTGTCTTCTACTTCCCTCATCCATCCTTACTTGCGGTGTTCATCAGGTACTCTCATCACTCAGAACAAATGCAAAATTGCCAAAACTATAATTTAAAAGAGGTTTATGAAAATAAGCACTCACAGGCTGTTACCCCATCAGACTACAGGAGTGCCTGCCCAGCCTGACATCCAGAAGCAGTGCTGGGAGCCAGATCTGCTCTGACACTCAGGTCTGTGTCCCTGCAGCTCTTCCTCTGACCCAGTAAAACCTGGCCCCCAGGTCTCTGGTGCCACAGGATGCACTGGTGTCCAGGCAGCTGCTGGTCAGCTCAGAGCACATCCCTGAACTCGTGGCTGTTGGCCTTGGACAAGTCACACAGATGCACCCCACAGCTGACTGCTGATTTTCTGAAAGTGGCATATTTGTACCTTTTGTTATTGATCTAATAAGCTGAATAAAAGGTGTCTTTTATGCCCTAAATGCAAGTTAATAGAGTTGATCTTAAGGTCTTACTGGAAGCTTTTGAAGAGAGAGATGAAGATGCAGAGTCATGGGAATGGGATCTTTCTCTTTTCATAGGACTTCTCTTTTCTGAAGTAGAACCTGTTTCACGAATGGTGGCAGGGGAAACAAAACCAACATGTCATTCAGCAAGCCTGGAAGAAGCCACAGCTCCATTGGTGAAGCAGGGAAAAGTACAGGAGAGTTTGTGTGGGCTTTGTCCTCAGCCTGGCACTGTTCTCAGCATGGACAGGACCTGTTCCCAGCCCACAACAGCAGGTCAGCCCGTGGTCCAGTCTAACTCCTCTGAGCTGCAATGGCTTCACAAAGCAAGAATCCACAAAGCTGCTCATTTCTCAGCATGTCTCAGCTATGTTTTCTCTTCCTACCCATGTATTACTTTCCCACTAATCCAGTGCCAGGGAAGCCAGCAGGCAACAACCTGTACTTTGTCAGTATGATGTGACATGACCCCCTGCCCCCTGCCTTGCAGCTTTATGGGCAGATCACAGCTCAGCTTTGGTGATGGAAACCTGTCTTTGGAGAGCCAGTAAAGATACTCACTTGAGCTTCCTGCATTTGGCTTCTAGGCTAAAATGTGTGTTTCTGTACAGTTTTCCCATGATAAACAGGGACATGAGCACTGCCAGCAGGGATCTCACAGAATCATAGCACCATAGGGGCTGGAAGGGACCTCTGAAGATGATGGAGTCCAACCCCCTGCTGCAGCAGGAACACCTGGGCAGGTCACAGGGCACCACTGAAAAGGGACTGAACCATGCTTGATATTCCCAGGAAACTGGGACTGGAAGTCTAGCTCGGGTGTTCTGATTTGGACTCTGCAGGAGGGTGCCCTACTTCATGGACTAGGAAAGCAACCTGACAAGTCAGACACCTGACAGCTGAGGTGGCCGTTTGGCCCAGACCATAAAATGCCAGGCTGGAAGGGAGCTCAGGGATCATCTGGTCCAACCACATGCAACCTTGGTGGATTTCAACCTAAATGCCTCTATTGTAGACAGTGTAGGTATGACCTCAGGTATTTCATTCCTCAGTGAGAAGCACATCTTTGATTAAAGTAAATAGTTTTGTCCTGCTATCCTTAACATCAGTGAATAAGAACTTAACAGGGCAACAATAACCAGCTGTCTTCCTCCTCACAGTATAGAAAAGGAAAATAAGGCAGTTTGAGATTTAAATAACATATGGGGATAAAATCCCTTATTTTCCAGAGTTACAAGGCACAATAAACATAAAGAGAAATGTAAATAACTTAATGATAACTGGAAATACCCATCAGGAAGAAGAGAACCTAAACAGTTCCTGGGTAAATTATTGTTGATAGTTTACACATTTATATGTTCTTAATCACTCTCTTAAGAAATTATAAACTCACCAATTCTCTACATTGTCAGTTTGAATTAATGGACTTTTCCAAGGAGCCCTCAGAAGTTCTGATGTTCAGATAGATTTCCCAGCCATACTATGGAGTACCTCAGGAATCAGAGACTTGCACAGCTGTGCTGAAGAGTTTCCTGGGGAGGACCTGTCCTCAGGGCCAGCTGGAAGCAGAGGCTCAGGCAGGGACAGCTGGGCTGGAGTTGTCCCTGCTGTGAGGGAGGGGATGGGGTGGCTGGTCCCTGCAAGGAGCCCTCCCAGCAGTGAGTTTCACTGGGATTCCCACTCCATCTGCACTTCAGGGCTGCCAGGACACACAGGGCAACGGAAGGAGGGAGGGAGAGGGGAGCAGAGATCCAAAAAGCAGGGACAACAGCTGCAGCAGCAAGACTGCAGTGGGTGACCCCGTTGCTGCTGCAGTGCCTGGGCATGGAGAGTGGGAAGACCCAGGCTCAGTGAGCTGAAGCCAATCTGAGGAGCAGAGCTCACTCCGTAGGGATAGCTCCAGAAACCCTCACCAAGGTGTCCATCCAATCCTGCTTTTTCTAATACAGCTCTACCGTATTACAGCTTCTTTTATCATCACTACCAGTTAATACCTTCTGTGGCTATTTCTTCATCCTCATTATCAGTGCTGCTGAGCTTCTCTTGGTCACTTTCCAACACATCATTCACAACTGCTTTTTCTGTGTGAACCTCTGAGCTCACAAAGTATGCTGCCAAGCCAAGCTCTTGCTCCAAGGTTGTTCTGACCAAAGAAGATGAATTTATTAAACGTAGGTCACAGTATCTCAGTGATCTGGAGAGAAATAAGAAGGGCTGGTATGAAAACTCACTGTCATTTACTTCCGTGTTCCCTTTACAGCACAGCCAAAGGGGAATTTCTTCATCATCTGCTTAAACTATGGATGTGAGAGAGCACAGAACAGCTTTTGTGCTTAATACCTTTACCACTGGGATGCATGCACTTTTCTTTTTCTTAATCCAGATACTTTAGTGCACTGAGCAGTAGCATTAGCATAAGAAAAGGAACAATCCCTTGGGCTCTAAACCGAACACACAGACTGGGATTTGGTTGTAAGTACAAAAACATTTAGTGCCCCAGGGCACTGGTTGGCTTCCAGCTGCCAGGCCAGAAGGCACTGCTCTCTCCACACACCCTGTGGCACATATGCTAGCATCATGCAGATGCCTCCACTACTCTAAGGTATCTAAAGCACCTATACTTTTTTCTTCTTTTTTGTTTTTCCTATCCTTATCATCTACTCTGTCCCAGTTTGGAACAGCTCTCATACTATTTTCTGAGCTCTTTCTATCTTGTTGTAGATGTTCATTATGAGGGTTTTGTATGTATGATAGAAAACCTGCCCAAAAGTTTGAAAGAGACAGCTTGACACTGAAATCCATTTTCTTCTCCCACAAGTAATTCCACAGTCAAGTCTTTAACCATTTGGTAAGCACTGGATAAAAAACTGCCACTGAGAAAACAGGTTTTTCTTACCGTGGCAAAGACTCCCCTTGTGGATCCATACCACTAAATATCAATATACAAGGCAAACCTTCCAATTCCAAATAGGTCTGTGGTCTCCAATCTGCATCTTCGATTTTCTGCCAGACCTGTGTCAGGGAAGAAACACTCTGGGACTTCTCTATATGGTACAAGTAAAAAAAAAACAAGTAAGAAATACCCATTTCTGACATTCATTATATGATTCAGCTTGTCCAGGGGCTGGATGCTCCACCAAGGGAAGCCACAGAGCAGAGCCAGTCTCACCAAAGGCAGGTGGCACCATTCCTGGAGTGTCACAGGCAGCAACCTGCCTGCTGGGGCTCTGAGGAGGCTGGGGCAGCATGTTCAGCCTGAAAAGCCTCTCAGCTCCCCAGCCACGTAGCGTTGAGCCAGGCAGGTGGGGCAGATATGGTACCATGCACAGTCAAGCTGAGTTGGAGCTTTAGGGGGGACAAGAGGACAGAGGGTGGCACCTTCTGGCAGATGGTGCATGGATGTCTGAGCCAAGGAAGAGAAGGAGCTAGAACAGGAGTGGTTCAGCTTAGAGGGGAAAGCTGAAGGTGTTCTACACCCAGACCTGTCCACTTTCCTGGTAACTTCACAGGTGATGGCAATTTTGTGACAGGCAAGGCAGCATCAGAGGCTTTTGTTACAGAGATGACCCGAGACTCTAGATCTAAAGGATGGAAATTAAGCTATAAACAAATACCTGGTCCAGAGTCACACCTGAGCTTAACTAACAGCAGTGACCTGATGCCTTCGTGCCACCTGCTGGTGACAAGCATAAAGGAACTCTCAGCTGGTCACTGATCAAAATCTTTGCTCTGTGATGACTTTGTGAGAAAACTCTGCTAAAACTGAGACAATTGTATTTGTTGTTTGATTGGTTTGTTCTTGTTGTTCATGGTCCCTGCAGATAAATGCAGTTCAAGTGTTTGAGAGGGGTGTTGCTGGAAGCCAAGTTCCAGCCAGACTAGTTAATACCCCACTGAACTATTTACCAGAGGTAGGACAGCAGAGGACTCACAAACAGTCTGTCTCAAAGATAAAATTAATGCTCCTTTTGGTAGGTTTTTGTTTTTCCTAGGAAGACCTGCACTTCAGCTCACAGCCCTGGCTCTCCTCACCTACCCAGCTTCCCAGTACGTGTCACTCTGCACGTTACCTTCAGTTGCTCCACAAAGTGCTTCCCTATGGTGATTCCAGAGTTCGGATTCCCCAAGATTATCTCAAAGTTCTCTTCCAGGGCCAGTCTTTCCCTCACATTATTCAGTCGCTCATAGGCCACTGCAGCCAGGGGAGTACATGGAATTCTCAACACTACCATCAGGCCATGGCCACTAGGACATTGTCGTGATGAGTTTATGAGGTTTTGGGTGATTTCCAGAGTTTCCACTGAGGTGTAGTTCTTCATCTGAGAAAGACCACACACTGCCATCATAGCTGCAGAGTAGTGCTGGATGAGGACAAAAGTCCTGATCACTGCACTGTGTAACCTGGGAAACCTGAAACAAATGGTGAATAAATAATGAAGTGTTAAAAAAGTTTAAAAGCTAGCTTTCACAAAACATTGTAAGCTCAGGATTTTCTCCCATAAAGTATCCTTCATATCTCCTGTAGCACAGAAGCTCACCAGGCTGCAGTTGTGCAGTCTTTGCAAGGCGTAACTCCACAATCAGACCCCATGTTGTCTCTCCACTGCTCAGTAAAGATTTGCTCAGCAAGGAGTCCAGCCAGGTTGTATCACTCTAAGTCACCAACACTTTACTGCTGTTACAAAAGTTCCCCCAGAATACTGGCTCAGTAATATCATCAACCAAAATGATATTCTCTTATCAATGAGAATTGTACTCTTCATTATAGGTTATTCTTCATGGGCAGAAGGCTTGTTTTTTCACAGAAGCCCTGAACTTGCTCTTGTTTCCAAGGGACTGACTTTGCAGGCACATTCCAGTGACCCCTCCAGCTTCCCAAGCCCAGGGGCACCCAGTCTCAATGCCCAGGCTATGGAAGGGAGAGATGTGGACATGCAGTGGCCTCCTGTGCTCTGGTTTTCACAGAAACAAAACCCAGGTGCACGGGGAAAGAAGAGGAACATGGCTTGTTCAGAAAAGTGCCTGGTGTTTGTGACCAGAGCCCCACAGCACCCTGCAGCCAGACCCAGAAGTTACACGTGGATGTTATTATATTAGGCAGAAGTAATAACAGGTTTGAAATTACATGAGTATGTTACATTAGTATAATAAAGAAGTTGTTACTGGTCACAATAAGAACACACTCTAAATTGAGCTAAAGAGTGTGCATGTTCATAAAAAGAGGTAGCCCAAAATGATTAGATTACAGGCCAAAAATATACAAAAAAGATGGAAGGAGAAAGTAAGAAGTGAAATTTCTTCAAGGTCTTTTCCAACCTCAGTGATTCTATGATTCAATTCTATGAATGTCCTTGCATACCCAGCTGATTTGTGGGACAGTGAGGAAAAAAAAACCAACCAAACTTATCAGGCTTCTAACTAGTAACTGAAGTGACTAGAATGCACCTCCTGCCCCTGCTGTGCAAAGAGAGGAGGGGGCCATACCTCTTGCCCAAAGCCATGACCATGGCCTCGAAAGAGCTGTCGTACCGAAGCAGTGGGATGCTGTGTCCAGAGAGGGTGGACTCAATGAACTCGGACAGTCCAAAGTATTTCTTGTCTTCATGGTATAAATCTACACCCTAAGGCAAATGAAGCAATAAAAATATAACGGTGAAGTCTATTACATATTCATTTACCACTGATTAACCACTGGAATCTGATAAATTGGCAGCCACATTCCCTAGCAAGCATGCATCTATTCAAACATATTCAAACAAAGAGGAGACAAAGAAACACAACTAATTTTTTGAGAGAACAGAAGTTGGACCCAACTTTTCCTTGTTCCTTCCTCTCTCTCTCTCCCCACATGCACATATACATAGAACAGCTCTGCATGGAATAACTGTGCACACATAGGGAGAAAGTCCATGTATGTACAGATATTCATGCAGAAATGCACTGGAGACAGATTTTCAGCTCATTTCCATTTATGTAGCTCAAACATTTTTAGCAAGGCTACTACAGTTTATAGAATATATAAAAGGAGCAAATAAACAAAGCAAGAAAAGCCAGGATAAGCAAGGGGAAAATGAGCTGCCACGGGCTGAACGAGAAGATCCCATGAAAACTTCACTCTCGTTGACAAAAATCACGGGGCCTCCACAGTTTCACCAAATATATAGATGTAAAATCATGTGTGAGGGGCTCACAAAAGCACCTCAGAGCACCCATCTTACATTGCTGTAGGAGGAAGGCCAGTGGATCTCGTTGTAAGGGCTGATGTGGGTGTGCTGTGTCTGCAGCGCGTAGGGGAAGGACGTCACGTGCAGGGTCACGATGTTCGGTGCCTCCTTCACCTCCCTGCAGTTCAACAGTCTGTCAACCAGTCCTGCAGACAGCTCTGCCTGAGGGTAAAGGCTGTGCACAGCACTGCAAAACAGAAACCCAAACCTCTGCAAAGTGATCAGCACGAGGGGACCTCTGTGTCAGTGGAATAGCTTTAACCTGGGTCTGACACCAGAGCTGAACATGTACAAGGACCTCAGGACTCTGGTCTTTGCCAGGCTTCCATGGCATAGAAGGATGGGAGAAGAAATACAAATTATTATACTGCAGCTGAAAATTTCTGGAAGTCTGAAAAGCTCTCTAGATAGCAAATTCTGAATCCCATACACCAGAACGTGAGAGATAAAGGATGAAAGGAAGCTGATGTTTTGGCAGCTACCAATACACAGCAGCCTTCCTGTAGTAACTTTAGCCAAACTGTTAGTGCTGCCTTTAAAAAATCAAGTAGAAGACAGAAAATAAGTCAATATGATAGAAAAACAGAGGGAAACTTCCTGTGATAGAGCTGTTATGAAAGGGAAGAACAGTTATTGCTAGGGCAAGTGTCAGCATCACGGAACACCTACGGTCAATTTGTTGCTCCGGTTTAAAATTTCAGCCCACATTTATGCTACTTGTTTTTTGGCATTTACCTGCAGTGACTAAGCTACAAGCCTAGCCAGTGCAAGCTCCTTCTGTTCCCAGCAGAGAGGGAACTCCAGGAACTGCTTGTGTCCACCCATGACAGGAGTCAGCCCTCAGAGGTGTCCGTGTCCCCGTTGTCCCTGTGTGGGCAGCCCCAGGCAATCCTGTTTTAGGCACCTCTTTCAACTGACTTCAGTTAGGTGGCACCACTCGTGCTGTGCCAAATAGTCACTTAGGTATTTGTCACTGACTTATCTTTATTAGGTAAGAGGAAGAAATATCAGAATTAAGCAGCAATATGGGCTCTTCCCCACCACTCAAGAATGTTCCATGAATAAAGGTGTGACGGATCGTGCAAGTTCCTAAGAAACAGAGGAAAGGAACAGGAAACACTCCCATGCAAAACATGAAGTTTTGGTGAGAATCACCATTCTTAACCAGCGTGAAAGGCGAGACCTTGTCATTTCAGTCACAAGAAAGTTTCTGTAGCTTTTGGTTTCAGAAACACTACTGTGCTCCCACAGTGGGAATGTGGTGATGTTTCTGGGATTTGGTGTGTTCTGTGAGCTCCCAGTGCCTTAGGAGCCACCAAGCAAAATCCCAGCAGGCAGCCAAGGAAGCAGGGCTCTCTGTGAGGGAAGCAGTGGGTTAGGCAAGTGAGCTGTTGGGGGGCTCAGTAAACATTGGACAGAAACCTCCCTGTTCCCCTGAGCAGCCTACATGGCACTGCTGCTGCCACAGAAGCTTTCAGCTCTTACAAATCAGTGATTCTGGATGGAAAAAAAACTGTACTGGTAAAATTCCAGTCAGTCAAACAAGTAAGCAGCAGTGTTGGCTCACTAGTTGTCTACTCACTGTGGAGGTTTTTGCATGTCTTACAGCCCAGAGGCCACTGGCAGTGGGTCATGAATCTGTGTACTTTCACAGGACGCTTTGCTTTGAGCTAAAGACAACCAGCCAAAATACAATATCTCTGGCTGAAAGAAGATAAGGACGGTGAGCAAGGAGAGCTGAAACCTTCCACTGAGGCATAATGTGATAGGCAGGATAAGAAAGAGTCATGAAGGACCTTAAAAGAAAATGTATTTATGCAATGCATGAGAAGGGAGAACTAGCAGGAAGATGCAAACAAAGATGAAGGAAGGGCTAAATCAGAAAGCTGATCTGAGAGCTAATGCAAACAATAATAATTTCTCTAAAGACAAATTACAGTTTTCTTACCTCATTAGATCCCAGTGTGCGTGGTCATGGATTAGGACAAAGAGTGTATGTGGATTCTGCATAGAGTTTTGTAAAAAGACTTTGAATTTAATCTGGGCTTCTGGATCTATTTTCATAACATACTGTTCCACCCTCTGCTTTGTAAGATGTTCCTTTTCCAATCCAAGTTCTAATAAAATACCTGGGGGAATGGAACAAATGTCAGTATTTCCAGATACAAACGCATCTATCAGTGTCCTGCAAATCACAATTAAAGCTAATTAATGAGCACCTGAGTGCCAGAGATGAAACAAAGTCTGCTGATAAGTCACTTCGGAGGGTGGAACACAAATCAAGAAATCGATTTTTTCGAAGGAGCCCAAATCAAGATTTTGAGTGCTGGAGTCAGCAATTGAGCAAATATGAGACAGCAACTTCTGGGCCACTGCCAGCTGGAACGGACGGATCTGATGGCGTTCAACCTCATAACCTGGAAAAGGCAAAGTTCTGGTTAGATATGTGCCCAAAGGCTAATGCAAAATGTTAGAGTCTGGCAAAGAATGACTGGTCTGCTCCCTAAGGTACTTTGCTTATGAACAGGAGCTTCAGTTTATAAAAATCTATGAGGGATATGCAAAGGGACTTTTCTGCATTTGGGTGCTTTGGTCACGCATATCCCTTGAACACCTGAGAACTGAAAGAGAACTTGTGCAACAGCATTTTGCTACCACAGAAGTAAGACCTAGGGTTTCAAAGACTACATAACCTGTGGAATGAAGCAGAGCATCCCTCAGTTTAAATCTGAACATGTTGCTATTTGCCTTGGGACCTTTGCCTTCAAGAGCCTAGGACCCTGCCCTAGTGGATCTAACTGTGCACCCAGAGACCTGGTTTCAAACACCTAAATCTGTCACCTCTTTATAAAATCCTCCCTACTTACTTGTACACGCAGCTGCTCCGGTTCCGTTCAGTGCTGTTGGTTTATTCACTGAGGCAGAAAGTGATGAAGAGATGTGCCCTTGGTTTTCCTGACAAAATTTCTCCAGCAAAAGGTCAATGTCACCCTCTAGCAAATTCAAGGGATAGTGGAATAAAACTCCATGTTAATAAAGGTTGCATTTCATGCTGATTTTTCATTGGGCTTATTTGCTGTTCTACACAGGAACCTTCTCCTTATTTTCTGTTGCATCTAGTTTTTACAGCATATCACTAATAAAATGCGAATCAGGCCAGTGAATGACAGACCAGCTGTGCTGAGCAGAGACTAGGATGTTTATGGAGATGGTACAAAACCAGCTTCAAGGCTCTGATGCAAATCAGCTGCAACAACAACATGAAACTGGCTTAGTTTATCTTCAGGCCACAGAGCCATATTGCTCATTATTAAGGATCACAAGAAGCTTTGGAAAATCTGATAAATACTTTTAAATCTTTACATTTTTGAAGGCCAGAACAAAAAATAATTCCCTACAAAGCTGAACGAGAAATTTGAGTTTTGTAGCTACACACAATGCAGAAGCAACCAGGGTATGTTTTACTGAACTCTGTGTATCTGCAAGTATCTCCTGCTCTAGTCACCAGGACCCTGCTCACAGATGGGAGCTGTGCAGAGAGCACAGCCTGTCTGTCCTGGGCATTTGGGCTGTGCTCAGCAGCTGAAGAGATGTTGAACATGTGCACGTAGAGCTGGGAAAGGCAGGGCCTGCCCAGGGAAGGGCCACCCAGTGGGTATGGATGGCAGCAGTTCTTAGGGTGCTCATTCACTTGTTCAGCTCAAACAGCAGCAAAAGCAATTTTGAAAACCACCCTGGGAAGGTGTTAAGAGCAGAAACACTAACATAGTGACATGATGGTTCCAGGAAAACAAGTTCCTCTTAAGTGACCACTCAAAATACCTTGACACATCCAGAAGGGTTCTTGTGATCCAAGTACAGAGTCACCCAGGTGACCTGAATGGCCAAGGGGATTGGGAGGTCCCAGTAACAATGACTAATTTTCTGTGTTTGCTCTAATTGTGTGATATGGTTTAACCTTCCTTGTGGCTGGATCTGTCCCCAGATAACCCTGCCCATGCTCACCCTCACTATACTCACCTAAAATGATCCAGTACCCCTGGCTTTCTGAGACTTTCCTCTCTATCCCAAGCATTAAGGTCAAGTTCCCAGCACATCAAGCTGAAAGGGCAAATCCTACCTTTGATAAAGTGACTCTGTTCTGTCACAGCCTAAATTAATTCTGTGCTTAGGGCAAAAGAATTTACATCTTCATATGGATCCAGACTAGCACAGCATATCCCTGGATTTGCATAGCAAAGAATAATATGCTCAGCTATTTTTGGTATAGTTTTACAAAACAGGGATTTTAGAAACTGACACTTGTATGAGGAATTTCAATTCAAATGTGCTTCACAACTTTGTCCTGCATTTTTAATACATTCATAACAATGTCTTGCTTCTGGAACGCTAAAGGGTCTGGCTGTTTTCTCTGACTTAAAAGTTTCAGGACCTTGGAAACATGACTCTTTACAACCTGACAGGTACCTGGGCAAAGTGTGCTAAAGAAGGACCCCAGAGTTTCCACTTTCCCTGTGACCAGCTGATAGTTCACTTCTTTTTGGTAGTCTGAAGGCGTGAGCATGCTCTCAGCCAGAACTCTGGCCTGGTACTTTCCTAAAAGACAAAAACAACAACAACAACAAAAAAGTGATTCTGAAAGCATTCAAACTAAAGTTAAAAATGTTCTAAGTCATAATAAAAATACTGCCAAGCTACATGAGCAGCACACACACCAAACTGGCAGAGTGTTTTCTCTTTCCTGTGTGTGCACCAAACACCTGCTAGATTAATGTTTTGTGATTCTTTGTTTCTTTCTCAGTCTAGGAAATATTTGTTCATACAGTTTATGAAAAGCCCATCTCACCAGCCAAAGGCATTGCCAAGTGTCTAACACTCATAACGGATCTTTGAACAGCTGTTTAAATCATTTATTTAATTATCCCTATCGCCCTCAACAGGTGGTGGGAGGAAAGGAGATGGAACGACCACCTCTGGGAAGCTGGGGGGCCGAGCAGCCCTCCTGCTGGCAGGACAGCCCAGGCAGGTGAGCAGGAGGGCTCGGTGCTCGGGGTGCTCCTGCTCGCTGGGCTTGGTTTGGAGCAGGGCTGGGGAGAGAACAGGAACCCAGGCACCAGCCCAGCTGGGCAGCACCAACCTGGGCTCCTGCAGAATTGTCGGAGTTGGAAGGGACCTCTAGACATCATCCAGGCATCCTCTAGACCACTACTTGCTGGCCAAAGCTCGGAGGCAGCCAAACTCCTCCTAGGGCTGCACGACCCTGTGGGCTCACCCTTGGGACCCTCACCTGTTATCACGATGCAGGAGTCGATGGCTCTGTTCCTGCCAGCACAGATGATCACCACGTAGTTGGTCTTGCTCAGTTTCCCCTCCATCAGGAGCCTGAACATCTCGGAGAGCCCCTCAGCCAGGGAGCAGCTGCACTCGATGATGCGGACGCTGTTGTTGCAGGAGGTGGCGGCCAGGCCGGCCAGCCAGGGCAGCTGTGCCGGGGTCACAGGGGTGGCCGGGGTGGCCGGGGGA